CTCTCCACGGTCACACGCCTCCTCCTCCTCCTCTTTGTCTCCTCGCTACCGTAGGTTGGTTACTGGTCGTTACTTTTTTTTTAAGTTTTGATTTGTTTTCTCTTTTCATTTGGGAAGACTTTAAAACATTGAAAGCTCAACCCTCCTCTTTTGGAGAGTTTCCAGAGGCTGGAAAGTAGGTCCTGGGACCTGTGTCCCCGGAGGGAGGGAGTTGTCGTCCAAGTTGGGACCGCTCAGTCAGTCCCGAGCGCCCGGGAGAGCCAGGCTGCTCGGGATGTAATCGGGAGTCCTCCCTCCACGGCTGCGTCCGGATTTTCCTAGCTCAGGAGGAGGCGTGCGCATGTACGCGCGTGTGTGCGTGTCCCGGGGGCGCGGGCGCGGGGCCGGGCGGCTGGAGGGGAGGTGGTGCCACTTCATAGGCTCAGGTGCTAAGTACTTAGGACCTCATCCAGGTCTCCCCTTCTCTCCTTTGCAGGTGACCCAGGAGAAACCCAGTCTTGGAGCTGCCGAGAAGCCCCAAGTGCAGAGGAGCCTTACTTGCAGAATTCCAGCCAGTCCTCGCCCCGCCTTTTACAATTTGGTCCTCTTTTATCCTCCGTCCCTAATTTTTGGAATTTCATTTTTCTTCCTCTTCTTCTCTTTGCTCAACTACCCCTAATTTTTTTTTTAAGAAAAATCTCATTAGCTCACCTTTCCTTCCCAGCGTTCCCATTCCCCCACTGAAAAAAAATCTTTAAACGACCACCGCCTCTCTGACGGCAGGAGCACCTGCAGAGCCTCGGAGTTCCCCCTACCTCCCAGCCCGACCGCCCTCCCTCTCCGCGCGCGGGTTCCGGGCCCGGCGAGAGGGCGCGAGCGCAGCCGGGGCCATGGAGGTGACGGCGGACCAGCCGCGCTGGGTGAGTCACCACCACCCCGCGGTCCTCAACGGGCAGCACCCGGACACGCACCACCCGGGCCTCGGCCACTCCTACATGGACCCGGCGCAGTACCCCTTGCCTGAGGAGGTGGATGTACTTTTTAACATCGACGGTCAAGCCAACCACGTCCCGTCCTACTAC